ACACACTAGTGGAGTATTAGTATAGGGTATAGCACGGCACAGTTCAGGGCACATATTTGCACAGGGTCTCAAAAGATGTTAGGTCAGGGGTGGGCAAAATTTTTGACTTGAGGGCCGCAATGGGTTCATATATTGGACCCGGGGGCCGGACCAAGAGTAGATGAATGATGTGTATGTGTCATCCATAGTAAGCATAGTAATATTCCCCCATAGTAAGTATAGTAATATTCCCCCATAGTAAGCATAGTAATTCATCCCCCATATAGTAATTCATCCCCCATATAGTAATTCATCCCCTCTATAGTAATTCATCCCCCCTATAGTAATTCATCCCCCATATAGTAATTCATCCCCCATATAGTAATTCATCCCCCATATAGTAATTCATCCCCCATATAGTAATTCATCCCCCATATAGTAATTCATTCCCCATATTAATTCATCCCCCATATAGTAATTCATCCCCCATATTAATTCATCCCCCATATTAATTCATCCCCCATATAGTAATTCATCCCCCATATAGTAATTCATCCCCCATATTAATTCATCCCTCATATAGTATTTCATCCCCCACAGTACTATTCCCCCCCAAGTAGTAAGCCAAGTCCCCCCTGTTTCAATTCACTTACCTTTGCTCCGCGCGTTCCTCTCGCAGTGTTCCCGCGCCGTTCCGGTCTTCAGGGCGGACTGTGAGAGGAGCCTAGCTCCCCTCACGTTCGTCACGCTGCCCCGCCTACACACATCCTGACAGCCACATCCGCGGGCCGGATTAAAAGGTCCGCCGGGCCGTATACGGCCCGCGGGGCGTAGTTTGCCCATTGCTGTGTTAGGTAGTCAGGAAACTGGCTATCGCATTTTGAAAGACCCTACAGTCTGGTTAAATTCAAGTTAAAAAAATAAGTACAAAAAAATTTTTTAATTTTAAAAGCCAAAAATAGTTGTTCTTTTTGTTGTTGTCGAGTTACTGTTCTATTGTTACGATTTTACGGTTTTATTGTTACTGTTTATTGTTAACCATTGCTGTTTTCTTTGCAGGAATGCCATTCAGCTGCAGCAACAGGAACTTGCTCTCAGAATAAACATGTCTGTGTGCAGCGCTGTTGGATGAGGTTTTTCATCCACAGTTAAAAAAAAAAAAAAAAAAAAAAGAGCATATATGCCGAAGCATGGGGGCCTGGGGTGGCCAATGGGTGGATGAACCCTATGCTTCAGCATATATATTTTATAATATTTTTGGGCACATATTTCAATAAAAAAGTTGTTTTATTGAGTGACTGTTTTATTGTTAATAATTGCTGTTTTCTATGCAGGTTTCCCTTTCAGCTGCAGCTCCGACTTTTTTATTCTGACTGACACAGGGAATTGCTCTCAGAATATACATAAGTAGGTGTGTGCAGTGCTGTTGGATGAGATTTTTTATCCACAGTTAAAAAAAAAAAAAAAAAAAGTGCAAATATACTGAAGCATGGTGGCATGGCGTGGCCAGTGTGTGGATGGCCCCTATGCATTGGAATATATTTAAAAAAAATTGTGGCAGAGATTTCTTCATAAACATTGACTGATGTAAAAAGAGGAATCTGTTTGTATGGGCTGAACAACAAAAAAATGGAGTAAATTGCAGTATCTACAGGTGAAACTCGAAAAATTAGAATACTGTGCAAAAGTTCATTTATTTTAGTAATGCAACTTAAAAAGGTGAAACGAACATATGAGATAGACTCATTACATGCAAAGCAAGATAGTTCAAGCCGTGATTTATCATAATTGTGATGATTATGGCTTACAGCTCATGAAAACCCCAAATCCACAATCTTAGAAAATTAGACTATTACATGCAATCAATAAAACAAGGATTGTACATAGAACAATATCGGACCTCTGAAAAGTATAAGCATGCATACCTACTCAGTACTTGATATGGGCCCATTTGCAGCAATTACTGCCTCAATGCGGCGCGGCATGGAAGCTATCAGCCTGTGGCACTGCTGAGGTGTTATGGAAGACCAGGATGCTTCAATAGCGGCCTTCAGCTCTTCCCGATTGTTCGGTCTCATGTCTCTCATCTTGCTCTTGGCAATGACCTATAGATTCTCTATGGGGTTCAGGTCAGGCGAATTTGCTGGCCAATCAAGCACAGTAATCCCACAGTCGAACCAGGTTTCGGTGCTTTTGGCAGTGTGGGCAGGTGCCAAGTCCTGCTGGAAAATGAAGTCAGCATCCCCATAAAGCTCGTCTGCGGAAGGAAGCATGAAGTGCTCCAAAATCACCTGGTAGACGGCTGCGTTGGCCCTGGACTTAATGAAGCACAGTGGACCAACACCAGCAGATGACATGGCTCCCCAAATCAACACAGATTGTGGAAACTTCACACTGGACTTCAAGCATCTTGCAGTGTGTGCCTCTCCATTCTTCCTCCATATTCTGGGTCCTTGGTTTCCAAATGAGATGCAAAAGTTGCTCTCATCAGAAAAGAGGACTTTGGACCACTGAGCAACAGACCAGGTCTGTTTTTCTTTAGCCCAGGTAAGATTCTTCTGATGCTTGTTGTTCAGGAGCAGCTTGACAAGAGGAATACGACATTTGAAGCCCATGTCCAGGATCCGTCTGTGTTTGGTGGCTCTTGATGCACGGACTCCAGCCTCAGTCCACTCCTTGTGAAAGTCCCCAACACTTTTGAATAGCCTTTTCCTGACAATCCTCTCCAGGCTGCGGTCATCCCTGCTGCTTCTGCACCTTTTTCTTCCACACTTTTCCCTTCCACATAACTTTCTATTAATGTGCTTTGATACAGCACTTACCTTTTGAGGCTTTCCCTCCTTATGGAGGGTGTCAATGATGGTTTTCTGCACAACTGTCAGGTCAGCAGTCTTTCCCATGATTGTGATTCCTACTGAACCAGACAGAGAACATTTAAAGGCTCAGGAACCCTTTGCAGGTGTTATGGCTTAATTAGCTGATTAGAGTGGGACACTTTTGAGCCTAGAATATTGCACCTTTTCACAATATTCTAATTTTCTGAGATTGTGGATTTGGGGTTTTCATGAGCTGTAAGCCAGAATCATCACAATTATGACAAATAACGGCTTGAACTATCTTGCTTTGCATGTAATGAGTCTATCTCATATATTAGTTTCACCTTTTAAGTTGCATTACTGAAATAAATGAACTTTCACCTGTATACCATAGTTTATAGACGCTATAACTTTCACACAAAGCAATTAATATACACTTATTGGGATTTTTTTTTTTTTACTAAAAACATGTAGAAGAATACATTTTGGCCTAAATTTATGACTAACTTTGAGTTTACTACATATTTTTTTATAGCCAAAAGTAAATATCTTTTTTCAAAATTTTCAGTCTTTTTTTGTTTATAGTGCAAAAAAGAAAAAACGCACAGGTGATCAAATACCACCGAAAGAAAGCTCTATTTGTATGAAAAAAGGACATGTGTTGGGAATTTTTTTTATCAAAGACATGTAGCAGAATACATTTTAGCCTAAATGTAAGACAAAATCTGATTTTTAAAATTTTTTTTACTTGACTTGCTTAATAACAAAAAGTCAAAAATATTTTTTTTTCTCAAAATTGTCGGCCTTTTTTTTTTATATATAGCACAAAAAAATAAAATAAAAAACAAAAAAACGCATAGGCGATCAAAAACCACCGAAAGAAAGCTCAATTTGTGGGGAAGAAAAGGACGTAAACTTCATTTGGTGCACCATTGCATGACTACCCAATTGTTAAAGTAACGCAAAAAAATGGCCTGGTCGGAGGGGGGGGTAAATCATCAGGAGGGCAAGTGGTTATTGTTCTCCACCGTCACAGCATAATGTTTGTTTACAGTGTGGTCAATACATTGTTTTTTCTTTTCCTTCTCTCAGTAAAAGGGAAACATTTCCCAATTTATTTATTTTTATTAAAGCACCACTAAAAGCTAAATCTCGCTATGGAGCTTAAAGTTGTTGTACAAGCACATATAGAAAAAAAAAATTTTATATTATATATATATATATTTTATATAGAGCCAACAGTTTGCTCAGCGCTTTACAATATAATGGGAGACAGTACAGCAACAATACAAGAGGGAAAGGAGGGCCCTGCTCCATGGAGCTTACAATCTAGGAGCTCTGCTTACAGCACAGGATCTGTGCTAATCAGGAGAAAACTGGTAAGAAGGGGTTAATGTTAAAAATCCTAGGAATCCTGCAGCCTAAAGTGGCAATGTGGACCAGGAAACATTCTCATGTAAAACTCTGTAAACAGCAATTCACAAGCTAGGTGCTGTGAATAGCACAGGACAATAATCAGCTGTCAGCAGACTTTCCTAGATAACTATAGCATTACTGAAGGGAGAGGGGGAGGACACCCACTCCCCCACTCCTTTGCAGTGTATTACATGGAGGATTATGCTGGTCTTCTCTTCAGCACAGCCTGTCACTCACATGAGAAGTGGCGTGAGGACACCATTTTTTTGCTTGTCTGATTTATTCTGTTCAGAAGAGCAGGTGGGTTTTCTTCAAGATACCAAACTAAACTCAAATGCATAGTAAAGATAAAATCTATTCAACTGTAGGATGAGACCGATTTGTGTTTTTTAGGCTTACAACCATTTTAAATATTGGGGTGGACCTTCCATCCCCCAATGTCCATATCCTACTGGTACAAATAGTGCCAGTTAGTTACCTTTTTATTTGCTATTGGTGCTAAAGGGCAAATCTGATTTTTTTTTAGTTTTATTTCAAGCATAATACTTTTATATACACTCCATTTCACGTTCCCAATGTAACAAAAAATACTTTCAATTTATAAAACTATTCCACACTGAATATTTCCAGAAAATAACCAGGAAAATAAAAAAGGTTTTCTTTTTCATGGCTTCAAAATTTCTGGAAATTTTACATCTCTACTTCTATCAGACAAGAAAGTAACAAAAAAAAAACACTCTTTGCATTAGTCTCTGTCCGATTGAGGCTCAATACCCAAGTACAACTTACCTGAAGCTGCTTCTTTACTCGCTCATTCTTTTGTGTCTCTGTTAGTCTTTCCTCCTCACTGCGATGGTTCATCACACCATCATTAGACAGTTCTGCGCTAGCCTCAGCGCTGTTCTCATCCTGCTCGTCATGCTCATTCTCTGTGGGTGCTGAAGGGGGTGGAGGGAGAGGGGGTGGGGGGAGGTGGTGGGGCAGACATCACAATTTTTAATTCTTCTTTGGTTTTCTCTAGATCTTCCTGTGCTGAATATGCCTAAAAGAAAAAAAAAAGTAAATAATATGTTCTTTATGAACAATGTTCTGTACAAATCACAGAAATACAAGATGTAAGGTCAAGGCTGTGAGTATTGTACAAAGATAAACAAACAAGGAATATAAAGACTATTGTTCATAAACTATTTCACTGTACTTGAGTGAATAAAAAACCTATCCCATAATAGCCTTGCCCCATTTTTAGTAGGGCATGCTGGGACACAATTAGAAAGTCACAGATCCAGTAAACACTATAACAGTGTCTAATCCAAATTGACTGTATAGCTCTCACCTTTTAGCGCCTTGTGCATTAGCCACATCTGCCAAGCACATTGCTTTAAATTCACAACAGAGAACTTCCATTACAGCATTTTCATTCTAGTCTCAAATATCAGCAACATCCATGTAATCCACCATGAGAGAAGATACAATTACATCGCTCTGGCATGTAGATGAAACGGCTCCATATAAATTTGCAAAGATTTTGAGTCCAACTGTGACCACTTTTCAAGCATCGAGTCAATATTGTGAGATTATGTGACTCTAGGCTTGACAAAGTGTCAAATGAACACAAAATGTTGTAAAATTAAATGAAGAGGTTTCACCTGCATGCTAGACAGTATTGTACCTCATTTGATCATGGATTACATAGATGGTGATTTTGGGGACTAGAGTAAAAACACAATGAAAATGCTATAAATATATGTTCTAACTGGAGTGCTCTGTGTGATATAACTGCCGCCACCCCACCTGATGGTCCCTATAATGGAGGACAGCTCCAATAACAGGGACAGGAAGGGAGTAAGGCTTATTGGGAGATGGGCATGATTTCATATACTTCGGCAGTTGGGCTTATTTGAGGACAGATTGTGTTAACTGGCCTAGAGCTTAAAACTATCCTAGTTTTAAATCAGAAATGTAAAACAAACATGTAATAAATTGCAGCTTATCAGTCCTTAGATGGTATGGCTGCATTAGAGTTTTTTTTTTTCAAGGCACTTTTATTTTAAACTTGGTCATGGTCATGTGGCAAGAAATTCTTCCTTTCCAAGGGTGACACAAGGCAACCTTCTGTACTGTATCAATAGAGGAGAAGAATTGTCAGCCTAGGATAGGAAGCGCGCTTATTACTACAGAACAAGAAAAACTGTGAATAATAAAGAGCACATGAAGCTATCGGCTGACAAGATTTCTGCCAGGATCAACAGGTAGCTTTTGTACTTATTGAACAGATATAACAAAACAATTATAATGGTATATTAAACAGACCAAAAGGAAGCAATAAGCCTCAATTATAGGGCTTACATACACTTCAAATAAGTAAATGTTTGGGGGGGGAAAGGAGGGCTCTAGTCAAGGTAACAATATGTCAAACCTGTTAATGTTTCTAAAGCTGGCCAGTCACAGAGCTATCTGATCCTTGAATGATCCTCAATACATCCAAAGTACATACCCACTAATGTGCATATAAAAACAATTCATACATCACAGGAAGAAATAAAGAGAACTGTGTAACTTGTGTGCATTTATCAGAGTTAAAACTCGGAAAACATTTCCAGCACGCTTGATCACCAGTGACACCAATCTCCCAATATGATCATTTCCACACCATTCACAAAGCAGTTGTTCCATCACTTGCTGTCTCCTTCTGAACCACGCCAGTCTTTAATCTTCCATTATAATCATCCCCTAAAGTGCTGAACCTAGTGATAAGTCTGAGGAAGCCTGGCATACAGGCACCACATGCTAATCATAAGGGTATGCAGAGAAGTGTAAGGAAACCAAAAATCACTCTTTATGAAAAGATAAAACTTAACAGAACTAAAACTCCCCCACTTCCTTCTAATGAGCTTTTAAACAGTGTTATATAATGCTGAAACATGCTGGGAAGAAAATGATCTTTTGTTCAGCTGAATTAGACTGAAGGAGAAAGTCACTGATTGAAAAAAAGGCTGTCAATCCAATATACATGACAGACAGTTAATGATTGCAACCCCTCTGTGCCATGGTAGCGTGGGTGGAGAATAGAAATGTTGTTTGTTTGCTATTGGACTTTCAAGCATGACCGTGTGATCAGCTCTTGTTATATTTAGCCCTTTTCCAGCAAAACTAACTGCAGACAACTGTTTGTATTCCACAGGGCGGGGGAGTATTATAAAACACTGTCAGTTGTTCTTGTTTGTGTCCCTGCTACAGGAACTCCTTTTTTCCGGTGTCACAGATGGGGAGCAACCTGTGATGTACCTGACTTCACTCAATTACTTCAGTGGAGACTTAACAAATCTCCTATCGCTCAACCTCCTGACAGTGTCTTGGTTTTGGGTTCACACGGCTTTGAGGTGAATCACGGAGGAGAGGAAGCCTGTGCATAGAAAAGCACATTGATTGCTGCCTTTTCCTTGTGACGGTGCTAGATGTCTGGTTGCTATACTCATTCACAGGCTCCTTCTAGGGTTACTGGCCTCAAATTAATTTAATTTGCATGCTTATTGTAGGTCAGGTCATCTAGTATTCTCAGGAGGTTAGCAGTGTTGGTCTGTATATTTTCCTCAGTGCAGATTTCTTTTACAGTGAACAAATAGATGCTTACAAACTGGCCACAGACAAACTGATATGGCATGGACCGTGAAAAATCTCAAAACATGTATAAGACTTGCATTCTGACATGTCCCACTATGATCTTCCTGATTCAAAATGATAGATGGACGCAGAGCATTTGCATTTAAGGAGATTAGTCCTTTTTTCTCTATAGAAAACTGAGATATTGCAACATCGAGGTAAGTGCTTTAGTCACTCTTGAGCTGGATGCATTGCTGGCGTTTATCAGGCATTACAGGCAGGCCAAACTTACAGGTGTCATCAAATTAGTTTTTTCCGAGTCATACAGGCATGCAAAACCTGGAAATAAACACATCAACCCTACTGGTTTGCAATGCAGGAACGGTATTCCAAATCAACCTCTGTATGTTCATTTCTGTATTAAATCCTCACTGGATGACAGTTTGCTAAAGCACTTTTGTAGCAAAACAACTGCCATGTTGTTTTCCTAAAAAATATATATATATACCATTGCATAACTAAAATAATGTATATATAGTGCAGCGCTATGATACTAATGTAAAATATATGTGAATAAAAGTTCATATAGACCTTTACACAATAAAAGTGATCGTGAACAAAAAACATATGAAGGTTTCCTCATCATTTAGATGGCTGGAATCAAATAGAAAAAATGCGCACTCACCGACCGTGCATTTCAAATGCGCATGTGTACAATATTATCCAGATGATCGGTCAGATATGCAGATCAGTAAGACACATTGGTCATCCCCTTCAAGTAACGACATCAGCCTTGGGTGCAGCGATATACCTCCAGGTCCAGAGAGCCCTCTTGCCCCAAGTGATAAGGTAGATAGAGATAAGGGAATGCTAGGGCACTTCATCAGAGGGTGGACGCCACTGAAGTGCCCTAGCACGAAAGGCCTCAGGAGGAGCCAGTAGTGTGACTTCCTGACCACTGGGACCACGAGGAGGTCCGGTGGTCTTCCACCTTTTACCTTTGCCGGGTTAGTACATGTATTATTCATTTTCTCACTTACCAGTCTGTCTGATCACTGACGGTATTTGTTATATGCATGTGACCCTGGCTAGCATTTTAATGACCCAATAAAAGTTTTTGAACATACTACACTATTGGCATTCCCTTTCTTGACCCTCTTGTTGGAGGGTTCCAGATTTGCAGCAACCAATTCTTGGGGTACCTATAACCAGGAGAGGGTTCTCTATCTACCTTATCACTTGGGGCAAGAGGGCTCTCTGGACCTGGAGGTATATCGCTGCACCCAAGGCTGATGTCGTTACTTGAAGGGGATGACCAATGTGCCTTACTGATCTGCTTATCTGACCGATCATCTGGATAATATTGTACACATGCGCATTTGAAATGCGCGGTCGGTGAGTGCGCATTTTTTCTATTTGATTCCAGCCATCTAAATGATGAGGAAACCTTCATATGTTTTTTGTTCATGATCACTTTTATTGTGTAAAGGACTATATGAACTTTTATTCACATATATTTTACATTAGTATCATAGCGCTGCACTATATATACATTATTCTTGTTACAAGGTCCAATGATTCCTTAGAGTGTTTCAGCAGCTGATTTTAGAGCGCTCGCTTTATCTTTATACCATTGCATAACTGCTTGTAATCTCCACTAGAGGCACATATAGCAGACTGACAACACAGGACAGCAACTGGGAGAAAGGGACAGAGCGTTGCCACCCTATAAACAAGATATATTCGAACCAGGACCTTCTTAAAACAATCAGCTTGCGATTATTTAATTGAATAGGGTAAGCTTTAATGAAACATTTAGAAGCTTGAAAATGACTTCTGGAATTACATTTACATGTTAAAAGATTATTTTGAGATTTTAGTGATTGCGTTTTACATCTTGTTTAGGTATGCATTGCTGTGATGTTCTGCATATTTATTCTAAGTGGCTCATAAGGTAATGAAACCAGGATAAGTCCCATAAGTCTGCACCCCAAGAATTTCAGCTCTATCCTCAAAATGTTCCTTAAAGCCCAACACATTGCTTTTATATACAAGTGCCTTGCTGGAATCTATGTCTGAAATGGGCTGAATTTGATTTTATGCCATTATTTGGCCTCAAGAAAGAATTCAAGATATGAAATGCATACGGATACATTTAGAAATTACTTTTTGTTGCCACTCCGAAGCTTCTTCTTCTTTCTTCTTCTTTGCTTCTTCAAGTAAAGCAATCTTGGCAGTGAATTCTGCAAGTTCAGCAGCCTATAATGAACATAAAAGTTCAGGCATCAAACATGTCACCAAGGAAACAACCCAAATCTTTTACTGTAACAAACACTACACTTGAAAACTACTGTATAGATATTACAAGCTACCACAAGTTGTAGCTGCCTGTGGGGCACATAAAGCGGTCAAGTTTTGCTTGACTGAAACATATCTTAAAAGAGCACTCTCAAAAATTTCCAGAGCCTCCATAGTAGTAGGAACACATATCAATGGATAGGTTAAAGCGGAGTTCTACCCAAAGTGGAAGCTCCGCTTTTTTCCCAGCCACCCCCCTACTTGGCACCTTTTGGCCACTTCCGGCTCAAGTCACCGCGGTGAAGTGAGCCGGAAGTTCGGCCCCCTCCTTCCTCCCACAGTCTCCTGGGAAAATTCACAGGTCCCAGAAGACTGCTGGACCAATCAGGATGTGCAGCGTGACTCGCGCATGCACAGAGGGCACCAGGCTGTGAAGCCGCAAGCTGTCACAACCTGGTGCCCTCAGTTGAGATGCCAGCGACGTGGATAGGAGAGGAGGGACAGAGCAGATGAGCACATCGCTGAACCCTGAGACAGGTAAGTGTGTGTGTATTAAAGGTCAGTAACACAGTTTTTGTAAGTGTGGCTTACGCAAGTACTTGCAAATGTGTTAAAAAAACCCCCTCTGTTTTTAGCGCAAACTGTTAGACAGGGCCAAATTGGTTGTTTTGCAGACTGGCTGGTAAGTGTTTCTGGGAAATCCTTTGTGATGTGCATTGCCCTTCCATGTGCACCTTACTGAAAACAGAGCGCTTTTCTGGTGTTTTCAACAGCGGAGTTCACTCCACAATCACCAGGCATTGCTTCATGGCGCACCGGCTCAAGTGCTGCATGACATGTTCAGAACACTAAAGCATAATATATATTTCATACATCTATGCAATACAAGCACATTTCCACATTTATCCCTTTAAACATGCTACAATTACAAGAAAATAACTGCTGATGTGCCAGAAATATACAATGGAATTCATTAATGTACTAACAAAAATATTCTGGCAGTAGTTTAAGAACTAACCATGTCCAAATTCAGGCAAGCATTTGCTCCAGTTTCAGAAAACATTACCAACACGTGGAGCACATTCAGGTAGTTCTTACTACCACCACTTTAGGGAACTGTCATTATGGCAGTGACAGATACTTACAAAATTACTGCTGGTTCTCAGATTAGGAAACTGGTGGTGATTAGGACCAGCTCTCAGCTGGCGCACAGAGGTACTCCAGTACTCAGAGTAGGGCATGTCTTTGCTGGGAAAAGGTCAAGTATGTGACCGCTTCTCACACATTGCTGTATCCCCCCCACCCATTCTAGCTGTTGATCAGGAGATTTCCTGACCAAAAGTGAAATGTAAATAAAATGGCAGGGACATAGGTGATATCATTGCCCAAATAAAGGTCATGCCCATATTTGGCAAATTAGTGTCATTGGGTGGATGAAGCCTGATGGGGTACTGAGAGACTTTTCCCATTAGTTCACAAGCCATCAATCCACCTACTGCTGTGTACTGTCAGTCAACAGCAAGGTGGACCTGATAGAGAACAGAGACTAGTTCCCCATCAGGCTCCGACAGGTAAAGGAAAAGCGTGCAAGCACTGACATTTTTGATACTGCGCCAAGACAGAATTCTGAAGGGTGCCACCATTTATGATTTCCTCAGATAGTGCCCATCCTACCTTCCTCTTCGACATAACCCAGTGTATATTTCATTCTGAATTCTAAAGTATGGATTTTTAGCCCTACCTTCTGCACTTTTGATGGATTACAAAGAACACAGACCATTCCTCATGCCCCCCCCCCCCCCCCCACTTTATCTCTATAACCACTCCATGTGCAAAGGCAGAGAATGCAGGATGTTATCTACTCTAAGGTGCAAAATCAACAGGTATTTTTTTAACTTCTCAAAGAGAAAGCAAAGAATGATTAATTGTAGAGTTAGCAGCACAAAATGGAGAAAAAGAGAGGAATTAATTGTTGCAAGTTAAGCCTTTTATTTGCATGACCATCAACAATAGGTTCCCTTGCAGGACAAGCATTGGCAGCATGGGCTGAACGGTGCCTACAAACCATAGGCACAGGGGCACAAATGAAAATGGCATGCTCAGATAAAGCTTTGACACTTCAAGTCCGAACACTTTCACCCTCTTCCAGTCCAGGCCAATTTTCAGCTTTCAACACTATCACACTTTTGAGTGACAATTGCTCAGTCATGCAACACTGTACCCATATGAAACTTTTATCATTTATTTTTTGAGACAGAGCTTTCTTTGATGACATTTGATCACCACTGGGTTTTTTGGATCAGTTGAGACCCTAAAATGCCGGACGCTGGTATGACATATGGCAGTGATCAGGGCGCTGGTATGGGGCATGGCGGTGATCAGGACGCCGATATGGCATATGAGGCATAGTGATGATCAGGATGCTGGTGATCAGGATATTGGTATGGTGTATGGCGGTGTTATTGTGAGCACTGGGATAGGTGACAGGGGCTGGCTGCATTATTTCTTATGACAACACTTGGGCAGTGATCAGGGACTTTGGGGTGGCTGATTCAGCAGTCTGAGTGTATATGCTGCTCAACAAGCTACTGTACACTCACAGGCTGCAGCATCAGTTCGGAGAACCGATATTTACACTTTCATTTTCATTGTTTTACTATGTGATTGCTGTGATTAGACACAGCACATTACATGGTAAAGCACCATATGATCACCAGGCTCCCGGGGGTGCACTCTGTGAGCTGCCGATGCGAGTTGACATACAGGTACGTTTGCCCGAATCCAGCACAGCTTCCCGTCTGCCGACTATAGATAATAGGTAGATGGGAATTTGTTAATAAACAAGTCCAAATCAAACATGAAAAACTAGGAGGAAAAGTGCTAATTAAAAAAAGCGTTTATAAAAAAGAGTTTAGTGAGGACAACAGTTGCTTGGCCAGGACTGATCCTTTATCACCATGCTGGAATAGGAGCGAAATCTCATCACTGGGTTTTAAAAACTTCAAATGACATCCCACTTTTCCACTGTAGATTGCATATACTGTGAGTAATGTTGAATTCATTGCTGCTTCATTACTGGCATTCACCATTATGATCTTTGTTAATTTTTATTTTGGTACAGGACCAAGAGCTTTTGATGCCAATACATTCAGTGCAGGAGAAGGTAGAATGGATCTGCATTGGTTTATTGTTTCACAGATTGGTTTTAGGCTAAGATTTAAGAGTAAGGCTACTTTCATATTGCTCTGTATGAAAAATGCATCAAAAGACGCATTTACGTTTTTGTTGTGTTTTTCCCATGTTGTGTTAAATTTTACGCAATGCATTATGCGTTTTGATGTGTGTTTTGCCACATTTGGGTTACGCTTTCCCCATATCACTTCCCACTATTCTAATGTGATTTTCATGGGATTTCCAGTGCAACTATTGATGCGTCTTTGATGAGATCTCAATGTGACTTTAGAAGTTCTCATGCCTTGGGTCACAGAATTGCACGACAAAGGAAATCACATTATATTCTGACTTGAGTGCGATTTCGGCGCCATAAACCATGTTATCCCAGAGAAAATGCATCAGCATAAATAAGAAACATTTCTATGAGACTGATGGATCAATGTCTTTTTTTTTTTTTAATGAAACCTCACCTCTCCTCCCTCATCCTTGCTGCCTAAAACCTAGATTCGCACTGAAGCCGTTTTGATCCTTCCTTTTATTGATCAATCCATTTATCAATCGATCCTTTTAGCAAAGGAAAGCACGATCGATGGACCGAAGGGTAGATTAATGGTGGGGTCAACTGATTGAAAGAAGGGTTGATCGAAGGAAGGGTCGGTCGATCAATCGATTGAATGAATGAAGGCTCCAAAAAGCACAGCTCTATCAAAATCCATGGATGAAGGATGACCAGGGAGGAGAGGTGAGGGTTAAAAACAAAAAAAATCCACTGAATCCTTTAAAGTCCTATAGGAAGAATTCTCATCTATGCTGATGTAACTTCTGTGAGATAACATAGAAGTCTAGGGGGCTGAAACTGCACTGAAGTCTGCCATGAACCTTTTCTAAAATCACACTGTGCTGAGCTGATTAGAGGAGCATCACTGAATATAATGTCATTTTCCTTGTCATACGATTTTGTAAACCAAGGCTTGAGAACTTCCACCACAGGTGCGTTGTGTTTTTCATGCGATTTCCATTTAAATAGAGGGATGCGTTTTTTGTGCTTTTTTTGCCGGACCAAACATGCACCAAAAATGCAGCAAGAATACATTTTTTTTTTTAACCGCAACTGAAGCTCAGAGGACTAGTGTGAAGAGCTACATAGGAATTAAAGGGATGCAGCTTTTTTTTTTTTTTTTTTTTTTTTTACTGAAAAATGCACCAAAAGCGAGTCAATGTAAAATCAGTCTTAGGTGTTCAGTTTTAATTTTAAAGCTGAGCTCCACCCAAAAGGGGAAGTTCCGCTTTAAGCCTTTGCCCCCCACTCCCCATTAAGGATTGGCACATTTGGGGAGTGGGTACCCGAATTTGACAGGTACCCGCTCCCACTTCTGCTGCGATTGCCTGGGCAATCAGAAGCGGAAGTCGTCTCCTCCCCCGTAGTCTTCTGGGACACGACAGGTCCCAGAAGACTATTGGACCATTCACAAAGCGCAGCGCTTCCTTTGCATGCGCAGTGGGCACCCGGCTGTGAAGCCACAAACTGTCACAGCCAGGTGCCCACACTGAAGATGCTGGCGCCAGGGAGAGAAGATGGCTGGTAAAACCAGTGGTGGTGAGGACATTGCTGGACCGAGGGACAGGTAAGTGTCTGTGTCTTAAAAGTCAGCAGCTACAGTTTTTGTAGCTGCTAACTTTTATTTATTAAAGCAGTGGAACTCCGCTTTAAGCCCTTGTGCACACTGAGCTTAAGAAAGTGCTACTTTTACAGGCATTTGGCTTTTTTTCTTTTTTTTTTAAAGCACGTTTATGTTAGCCTACGTGAGTCTGCGGGGATAGTGTAACTATGATATTTTAAACTGTAAGATGTTTTTTCATGACTTATTGTCATAACAAAGTACAAATGATTTTACTAATGTGTGTTTGGAATGTCTGTGCCTTTAAAGTCCATTTGCAACCTTTTCCCCGTTTCTTTCCCTCCAATTTTTGACTAGCCTACGTGAGCGTTTACAAGCTGGGGGGAAAAAAAAAAGCAGCTTTTCTCCTACCAGAAGTTCTGGCATTCAGAGGTGAAACGCAAACGCCCTGTGTGTAGAAGGCCTAAGCATTAAGATGCATTTCAGGATTAAATAAAAAGGATTAAGTTAGCCTTTTGTTTTCGGCTATGAGTTAGGGTCATCCCAATGGTTAGTTGTCATAACATTGATTGGGAGAGGGAATAGAGGTTGTTGTTGGAACATTTCTCTTTTCTGCTCCAATGTCTAAGGACTGCAGTGCTTTTTATATTTTACTAAACCCTGCATACAAAAAAGATGAAGTTTACATTGTAAACTTATAACAGAATTCTGGGTTTTACCTGGAGTGCTTCTTTAACCTGTGTAAAATTTGATAAACCTGAAATCAGCAAAAGATTTCCCCATCAAAAGGACATCAGGAAAGCTCAGTTTTATTCACTCAAGTGAAACCTCTGATTTCACAGTCCTAGTAATATAAATCCATAACTCATCTATAAACTGCTCTAAAGAACAGCCTTCTCTATGTGCTTCCTCTCACCAGCTGCTCTTGGTTTTTCATCTGGTCCGCAGCTTGCTTGGCCAGTGCCGCCTTGGCTTCTTCTGCAGACCGTCGTTCTTTCTCCAGGCGCTCAGCTTCTTCTATTGCTCTCTTTCTTTCCTGTTCCAACTCTAAAGCTTTTCTGGTTTGTTCTTCTAGCTCTGTAAAAAACAAAAACACATTAGAGTTTCCAGAAGAACTGGGTGTTCTGTGAGTTTTCTAGTGTATAAGTGAGGAAAGATCTCCCTCACTTCCCGGGACCATTGTAGAGAGAATGGGGTGTATGGTCATCTCTTGGACAGTATTCTCATTGCCTTGTAGGAAATTCTAACGGTTTCGCTCTACCAAAGTATGTTTTTGTCTGTGACAACAATGGAGAAATTTCTAACAATTTCTCATCTTGACAAGAGTCCTGCTGTACTAAATACAAATTACATGTTGGCTGGGTTCGAACTTTACAGCAAATCTGTTAGGAAACAAAAATTCCCTTTTTATCCTAGCGGTATATAAAAACTATAGCTGTCATCTAATACTTAATCCACATGATTACAGATATCAATTTTCCTGCATGCATTTCTAAAATTAATGGTGTTCCTAGTCCACAAGCTTATCAACTACCAAATTAAAACAGGTCTTAGATGTGACTGTTTAGGAAAAGATGAGCCATGCACGTATGCAATAAAATATTTACAGCTCTGTTACAAATCAGTATGCAAGTGAAAAGATTTATGTAGGAAAATAAAAACACACTAATTTAATAGTAGGAAAGAACATGATCCGGATAAAAGAATACAAAGCTGAAACACAGTTAAAGCTACTCCTCTCAATGTCAGCCTGTCTGCCATTTACAAGACGCATGGTATTAGCACCCAGCTGTAAGGCTGCATATACAATGAGCTCTGCTGTCAGGGCTATTTCTGAGCTCTGCAGTCTAATCAGCTTGCAGACCTAAGTCGCAGTTTAGCATGAATGAAACCTGGATGAAATACTTAATGGTTTTTTTGAATAACAAAGTAGTTATATTAAATACAAAAGAAAATATAGCAAAATAACTTTTTGTGATGATCTGAAGACAAGAAGCAGTATTGCATCTTACATTTGGGCACACTACTTACATGAAGAACTTTGTAAGTATAAGGACAATAAACAATGCTGAATCATAAGCCCACTACACAAACCTTAGCTCAGGATGAAAATAACAAAAGCTGCCACCACTAACTTGTTAGTGAAAAAGCAAGCCCTGGGACTGACTTGCTTATCCTTGCCTCACAACTTAGGGACCTAGAAAAAGCATGTAGCCAGTGAAGATTCAAGACAACTGATACATACATGTTTGTGAGAGATCAGTGGCTATTTGTTCTATGAAGTAATAATGTTGCATCAGTTATAGTCACCCATGTGCAGACAAATTAGGAAGTGGTTTCCACCCTTCAGCTAGTATGAGCTGTCAATGCTAGAGGCAAATATGAACACAGTAGTGTTGCCACCGAAATCAAATTATCTTAAAGTAGATATTTGAGAAAAAAAAAGTGAGCTTATGATGAAAAAAACTGGGCGGTTCCTCTAGCAGGTAAGCCTGCTATAACAGGATTCTTGACTTTTTTTAAATATATCACAGAACAGAGGAGAGTTAAGTCTATATTATTGGGTTATGCTCCACCTCGGGGAGATTAGAGACTGACAAATAGCAATGCTTGAGGGAGTTCTCTCCTAAGCCCTGTACACATGATTAGAAAATCATACGAAAAATGTCGCTTTCAACGCGATCATACGATAATCTGATCATTCGTACACAGCAATCGTCCGCAATTACTTGAAGGGACAACAAGCACGAAAATTTTTGTTCTACGATACCAGATTGTACGACTTTCATTTAACCAGTACATTATTCGTCCAAAAATACAATACAAATACATTGCATCACTTTCGCATTTTTATTCTGTGAATTTTCGTAACTTTAGTAACCTCTTCACTTTCGATAGAAGACTAGCATGCAAAAAAAAACACAAAACATAAAAAAACAAAAACACAGACCATCATTCATCTGATATTCTTAACATGTGTATGGGGCTTTAGACTATTGTTTGAGGGTAAGACAACAAACAATGGCTAACAGGCCCAACAACAATACTTTTAACATAACAAGAGGAGGAATAATTGACAAGGTCCTTACAGGGCTGCATGCATTACTTTCCATCTGAGGCCTGAACATCCACCTGTTAAAACGTAATGAAAATACAGTCATGGCCAAAAATATTAGCACCCCTGCGTTTGTCAGATAATGCACCACTTCAACCTGAAAATTGTTGCAATTACAAATGTTTAAGAAATCTCATGTTTAGTTCTTTTGTTTGTATTGGTAGGAAAGAAAAGTGGAGAAGAAAAAAGTCAAATATGACAATGCACACAAAACCCCAAAAATGAATTAAACTCGCCTGTATCAATTAACAGGTGCTGACAATATAGAAATCACACTGGTGCAGCAACCAGTTAAAATTATACAAAATTGACTAAACCTTTCTGTTGTGTGTCTGTGTACCACATGGAGCATGGAGAAGAGAAAGAGCAGCAAAGAATTGTCTGAGGATTTGAGAACAAAAATTGTGGAAAAGCATGGACAATCTCAAGTCCATCTACAGAGATCTTGATGTTCCTGTGTCCACTGTGCACAACATTGTCAAGTTTACAACCCATGGCACTGTAGCTCATCTCCCTGTATGTACAGGAAAGAGAAAAATTGATCAAAGATTGCAAAGAAGGATTATTTGAATGGTGGATAAGGAACCTCGATCAACTTCCAGACAAATTTAAGCCGACCTTCAGGCACAGGGTACAACATTGTCAGGTCACACTATATGTCGCCACCTGAATGAAAAGGAATGCTATGGTAGGAGATCCAGGAGGACCCCACCACTGACATAGAAACATAAAAAAGGCAGATTAAAGTTTGCCAAAACTTACCTGAGGAAGCCAAAATCCATTTGGGAGAATGTGCTGTGGATAGACTACACAAAATTACAGCTTTTTGGGTAAACCCATCATTCTGTTTTCAGAAAAAGAAATGAGCCCTCTAAAGAAAAGAATACAGTCCCTACAGTCAAACATGGTAGAGGTCCACTGATGTTTTGGGTTTGCTTTGCTGCTTCAGGCACTGGAGGTCTTGACCGTGTGCAAGCATAATGAAATCTAAAGACTACCAAAGAATTCTGGGGTGCAATGTAGGGCCCAGTGTCAGAAAGTGGAGTCTCAGTCAGAGGTTATGGGTCTTACAGCAGGACAATGACCCAAGCCACACATCAAAAAACACCCAGAAATGGTTTAAGACAAAGTGCTGGAGAGTACTGAATTGGCCAGCAATGAGTCCTGATCTCAATCACTTATAGTGCCTGTAGAGAGATCTCAAAACAGCAGTTGGGAAAAGGAACCCTTCCAATCCGAGAGAGCAGATGGCAAAAGAAGAGTGGTCCAAAATTTCAGGAAAGAGGTGTAAGAAACTCATTGGTGGTTACAGGAAGCGACTGATTTCAGTTATTTTTCCAAGGAGTGTGCTTCCAAATATTAAATCAAGGGTGCCAATAATTTTGTCCAGTCCATTTTTTGAGTTTTGTGTGGAATGTGTCAGATTTTTGTGTCATACCATTACAAACAAAAGAAATAAACATTAGAATGCCTAAACATTTGTAACTGCAACAGTTTTCTGAATGAAGTGGTGCATTATCTGACAGAAATGCAGGGGTGCCAATATTTTTGGCCATGACTGTATGAACAGAGGACCAAGTGGCTTACTTAACCTGGGAAACCAAGGCCTGCTGTTGAAAAGCCTACAAAACACCAATACTTCTGGCAGAATGGGCCTTCCCAGGAAAAGATAGGAACCCTTCCCTCTGAGGTCTTAGATCCAAGTAATAACATGCCACATCCACCTAGCAATTGATGGACTTGCAGTAATAAGGCAGATTACATTTTACGAACTTTTGTCAAACTAACCTTTTTTTTTTTTTCAACTTGAGTTTGAAAGGTTTTACCAACTTACTGTTCCATGTATGAACATCAGTGCTCGTATAAACAACTAAAATAGTTTAGTCAATGAAATTAACACTACTTTAGTTGACTAAAACAATTCAGATGACTAAAATACAATTAAAACTTAAATGGCATTTTAGTCAAAAGACTGACTAAAACTAAATCAAAATTTTATGTCAAAATTAGCACTAGGTATAGATCAGAACAACTAAATGGAGCGACCTTATTCTTCCATCTAACACTGTAAACAGGCAGTTTCATCTGTTGAGGAACTTGGAAACCAACACTCGTAGGCTGTCTTCTTTTTTTTTCACCAATAAAAAGAGCAGATATTTCTGAACAAGATAGGATACAGTGCATTCAGAAAGGAAAAGCCTGCAGAGCTCAGAGACTATTAGTGCAAGGCACAGATCTGGGTAAGGCTGCTAAAACAAATTCTGCTGCACTGAAGATTCCCAAGAGCACAGTGGCCTCCACAATTCTCAAATGGAAGAAGTTTGGCACAACCAGGACTCTTTCAAAAGCTGGTCACCCAGCCAAACCAAGCAATCCTGTGTGGAGATGGGACAGAGTTCCAGAAGGACAACTATCACTGCAGCCCTCCACTGATCTGGGCTGTGTGGCAGAGTGGCTAGACGGAAGCTTCTCCGAAGTGCAAAACACATGAAAGACCATTTGGAGTTTGCAAATAAACTTTAGCACACTCCAAGTGGGCTTTCATGATCTGTGCCTTGCAATAATCCTATCTCGGAGCTCTACAGGCAGTTCCTTTTCCCTCATGGCTTTTGCTCTGATACAGTATGCATTGTCAGAAGTGAGGCCTTCTATGGAGAGGTGTGTGCCTTTCCAAATCATGTCCAACCAATTTAATTTACCACAGATGGACTCCAATCAAGGTGTAAAACATCTCCGCAACGATCAAGAGAAATGGGAGGCACCAGAGATACATTTTTTGTGTTGTTGCAAAGGGTCTTACTTAATACTTATGCCAATATATTTAAATTTTTCCTTTTTCATAAATTTTAAAAAACATTTCTAAAACTCCATTTTCACTTTGTCATTATTTGGTAGCAAGTGTGGATTAATGTGGGGAAAAAAATGAATCTAAACAAATGCAGTATCAGGCTGCAGCATATCA